GGACAACCTAGTCACATGCCTAAGGAAGAGAAAAGTTGTAGTGCCTTGTGTTTGTATATATCCAACAGTTGAGCTAGACATGTTTTCATAAGTTTGGATGGGTTAGCTTTAAGTCCTATGTAAGTTTGATATAAAGGACAAATCATTGGAAGACTATGAACTATTGTTTAATTAGGTTTGACATTGGGGCAGGTGATAATACTTACCATTATGGTTTGACCTTGCATGTGGATAAGTGAGATCTCTATTTAGTATGAGTTTCAGTTTAACAGATAGTTGCTTTAGTTGCTCTTCACGTGCTAGAGCTATAGGAGTTAGTTCAATTTCAATATTTTTTAAGCTAACTTTTTTTTTTCTTAGGTCGATTCTCACATTTTTTTACGATTATTTATTATACTTAGCTTTGTATAAATCTTGGTAAGCTACTCTATTTACGGGAAGCGCTGCTCAAATTTCTACAAAACCAAGGAGTTAGTCAAATCTGACTTTCAAAGGTTCAACGTTTTGTCTAAATTATATTTATGACTTAGTAAAAATTTGAAAAACCTAATTTTATAGGAGAAGTGTTGCCTCAATTTTTTCTAATTCAGGGAGTTAAATAAAATTTAACTTTGAAAAAATCACAATTATTCAGATTCAATATTTAACTATGTATAAATTTTGGAAAGTTACTTTTCCTACGGGAAGCATTGCCGAAAGTTTTACAAATATAAGGAGTTGGTTAAATTTTGACTTGATGAAACTCAAGGCGTATGTTTGAGTTCATATCTGAGTAAGTATGAGTCTGGGAAATTTACTTCTATAAAGGAGGTGTGCCCAAATTTTTACTAAGTCAATGGGCTAGTATAAATTATGAGAAAACATTTTTCCTACGGGAAGCACTGCCAAAATTTTCTTAGTTTAAAGGAGTTAGATTATATTTTGAGAGGTGGCGATTCTAGCGATCTACCCTCAATAGGGGAGATGCTGCCAAGGTCAACCTTTCTTTGGACACTGATTTAGAGGTAGACTTAGACTTAGTTAGCAGGAAAACTTTGAGCGCGGATGTGCTATGAAGATTTATTCCCTATACACTGATAGTTTAGCCCTGGGTATTAGTCTGTTTTGTATTACCGACCTTCTTTGGACACTTTGATTCAGGATTGGACTAGATTCAGCTTGGTCCTATGAGGATCATCTTATGTTATCACTGATAACATGTAGGTTGCCGATTCGTCGGTTTAAGATTCAACTCCAATTCACTCTTGTCAACTCAACCTAAACGCTTTAGCCCTGTGGTTTGATTTGTTTCATTGGGTTTTCACCCAAAATTTATTGAATTGTCATTTAACAAAGATACTGAGGGTTTTTATTTATGGAAGGTTGGACAAAGGTTGGAGCTTGTATGGCTAAAGCGAGGGGTGTGATCGCAGGGAATGGTTGAAGTTGACCATGTGTAGTGCATTAACTTTTTGAGTGAATCTTTGATTTGATTGTAGATATGTTTTGTGGTTCGGACTCTGTATTTGACTATCTACGATCACATACACATATATGGCTGAGAGGAGTCTCATTGTGACTGTGAGAAGTGATCGTCCTATATTATATATACCTGTGCTAAACTCCGGGCCACCCGGCGGCCCAGCCTCCGCCCGGCAGGGGTCCCGGGCGCCCGGCCGGTTGCGTCCCCCGGTTGGAAGTCGGGCGGGCCCAGCACATTTTTGCGCAGGGGGGGGGGGGGTTGGCCTGTTATGATTTGTTAGCTGTCTCGGGAGCCTTCCCGCCCCACCGCGAGAAAGATTTCGTCGCGCGTCACATGGCCGCAGGGGCGGCCTTCGAATTCGAACACCGAGTTCGTCGAAGCTCCACCAGTGTCCGCCGTCGCTGCCCGCCGTGGAGGTTCCCGTCGCTGCCCGTCGTCACGTCCCGCCGCCCGTAGCCATTGTCGAGAGCTGCCCGTCGTGGAGGTCGACGAGAGCTGTCGGTCGTGAGTTCCCGCCACCGCTAGCCGTCGTCGCCGAGGTGCCCGTCGTGAGTTCCCGCCCCCGCTAGGCGTCGTCGCCGAGGTGCCCGTCGTCAGTTCCCACCACCGCTGCCCATCGTTGCCGAGGTGCCCGCCGTCGCGGCCAACCTTCGTCGAGGTGCCAGTCTCTCTCTCTCTCTCTCCTCCTTCGTCATCATTTTTTTTTATTTTTTTTTTTTCGTCTACATATCAATGGCAGGTCCTCCTCCTCCTCCTCCTCCTCTTCCTCCATTCGTCTTCTTCTCTCCTCCTCCTCCTTTCTCCTCCTCCTCCGTATTTCATTGGTTGTGTTTAGTGGGCGAAGTGCGACGAGTCAGTCTCTCTCTCTCTCTCTC